TAGTAGTAGTAGTAGTAGTTGTAGTAGTAGTAGTAGTAGTAGTAGTAGTAGTAGTAGTAGTAGTAGTAGTAGTGTATTTATTCCACTTTGACCGATGTTTTGGCACATGTTTGCAAACGCCTCTCTGTCTTCATTGCTCAAGCTGGCCCATTTTGCAGAGTTAGAAGAATGTGAATAGAGATTTCGGCGCCAACGTCCGCGAGCAATAGAGGTGGTCGTAGTAGTAGTAGTAGTAGTAGTAGTAGTTGTAGTAGTAGTAGTAGTTGTAGTAGTAGTAGTAGTAGTAGTAGTAGTAGTAGTAGTAGTAGTAGTAGTAGTAGTAGTAGTAGTAGTAGTAGTAGTAGTAGTAGTAGTAGTAGTGTATTTATTCCACTTTGACCGATGTTTTGCCACATTTTTGCGAACGTCTTTCTGTTGTCAACGCGCAGGCTGGTCCATGTTGTAGAGTTGGAAGAATGTAAATAAAGATTTCAGCGCCAACGCCTGTAACGTCCGTGGACAATAGAGGTGTTCGTAGTAGTGGTAGTGCCCCGTATTGTACTTCTCCACGCGTGGCGATCTGCGGCAGCTGGTCTGGATAGCTTGGCCCATTCTCTTCTCCAGCGACGGAGGCCGAATGCTGAAGGTCCGAGAACCACTTCCGTGTCTTGAGGAACTGTGTATAGCCAGGCCTTGTATTCACCTTCACTGCAACGCCCCCCCCCCCTCCCCCCCAGGTGATCAAAGACGCCGGATCAGCGACAGTAACAGTGAGCTCGTGAGAGGATCACGAAAAACGCTCCCAAACCACTTCAGTCGCCTCTTTTAAATGTTCTGAGATCTCCTCGTGACAGTCGCAGCGAGTGCAAATTGTTTTATTTGAGACGATGTCTGTATCCTTCACTCGAAGTATGATCCTCAGGGAGTGGTGGTTAAGTACCGCCTGTTTTTGCTTATCCTCCATGCCCAAAACCCAGCATTCGTAACTGTAGAGGTGTACTGACCGGACGGATGTATAGTACACGCGGATCTTCCTGATGATGGAGATTTAGCGTTGGGTCAATATGTACATACTTTCAAGGGATTGAGAACACCCTGTGAACAGTATCGATTCGGAAGGACGGTGTTGACCTTACTCTGTCCTATAGACTGCAGCCTCGGCCCAAAGTATTTGAAACTGTCCACTCCCTCAGATTGACAGCCATAAATTCCGAGAGGTGACTTCTTCTGGCCAGGGATGCAGCTCGAAACCAATCTGGTCTTCCGAGCGTTTATGGTTAAACCGACCGATTTAGCAACCTCATTCGCCGTGACACTACAAACTGTAGACCACCAAAGCTTGAGGTTAGAAAGGCGACACCGTCAGTGTAGTCCAGATCAGTCAGCGTCCATCCATCCCGCAAAAACCGTGTAGGGCCCTTCCGAGAATCCAGTCAATGGCGTAGTTGGACAGAAAAGGGCGTCCACAACCAGATCGGATTTCGAACGGCTGGGAGAGATGGTTATGAATGAGAACTCGCTCAGTGCTGGAGCGATAACAGGCCTTTACATTGGTGGTGATCTTGGCCGGCACACCGTCTAGTTCCCTGATTCGTCACAGGAACTCACGGTGGACGAATTCGAACGCGGCGGTGAAGTCAGTAAGACAGACCCCCGTCGGTTACTGATAGCCATGCTGCGGAACTCCAGAATGCGCCGCGGTTTGAATATCTGGTTCGCGTATCCACGCCCAGCTCGGAATCCGCCTTGGTTTGGCCCTGTCATAGTCACGCATAACTTGACATCGTCTGCCCACGCTTATTTAATCCCCTTCTGGGGCCAGGACAACAGAGAGCCAATGCAAGATTTGCATATTTCAGCGGAAATATCGTCCTCTCTGGGCGCTTTTTTGTGCAGCCTCTGTGTTGCATCGGCTGAAGATGGATAGAACCCCACTGCAGAAGAGTGTGAGGGTGTAGTGGATTACACATCAAAGTAAGGAACGTGCCCACGTCAGCGACCAACCTTAGCCGACCTTTCAGCAATGAAGCCGCCACTTACGCCTCGAACAGGGTCGCTAAGTTCGTAGGGTTTACCACTAACTTGGCCGATAATTTGGTAGTTTTCGAGTGTAACTAACGTTTGAAGCCTGCTCCGCGGAGGTCGCTATTTCAGCCCAATATTTCCGTCGGTTATCCCTAGCCGACTTTGCGGAACCTGGCTCGAGCCGTCTGGGCAGAAAACTGCAGGGTTCTTTTGTTGATCCAATCACTGCGGCGCCGCTGGGTGAATCCACGAATTTCTTTCATCTGCCCATAGACTGAAGAATTCAGCGATGATCATTGACTACTGCCTTCTCTGTCGGCCCGGATCGTAAAATGGGACAATTTTCTTTGCTAGGTTGTGCAAGTTTTGCAACGTCAAGACGTCCCGCAAGTGGTATTTCAGATGCAAACGTGTGTTCAGACCCACGGGCGTTACCAGTTTTGGAACCACACCTCAATCTGCTATTGTGAGAGCAGTTGTGAACCTTGAACAAACTAGAATGCATTCCATCCGATTGGCCTTATGTCCGTCACTTAAATACCAGGTCAGCAGATTTTTGTGACAATGCCGAAAGAACGTGCTAGTGACGAATAGTCAGTCCCTGTCTCTGTTGGTGCGTAAACGGAGACGGCAGTGATGTTCGTGAAGTGACCCTCCAATCGCACGTAAACCATCGGATCATTAACTGGTTCCCATGCAAGTAGTGCATGGTCCGCCTCTTTCGAGCGCGATCGCCACACCGTGTCCACCGGAAGAGTCGCGTGGGCCGCTGTTGGTACAGGATGAAGTGGGAGATGACACCTATGGTCTTTATTTCCGGGGTGTCTGAGTCGGAGATTCTGATTTCAGGCAGGTAGCAAACATCCACGATCTATCGGTCGACTGCACACCGTCAGACTGGATATCAGGGCCCGAAGACGTTAGCAGATGCTAGCACCCAATACCAAGAGTCCGTTCCCGACCACGTAGTTCAGCCCGCGCACTATTTTCCCGCAGGTTTGCTGAACGCGTTGATCCCCGTAGTCCGGCATTCTCATGAGGTCTTTTGGGATTTTTTTAGTACAGGAGGACTCCCAAAAGCTGCGCGATTGTCCCCTCAAGCGGTTAGGAAAGAGAACCTAACTACAAGGCAGCGGTAGCAAGCAAACCTATTTAGTGGCTTGTTGCCGCGTCACGGTGCCATCATCAGGCTCTGCAACATCTCAAAAGGCAGTCGGCGTGCCAGGTCTCCCCCTTCCGCGCCCTGGTAGCGCTGTCACCGTTGAACAATGATTGCTTACTCGCCAGGCTCAAGATCCTTCTTATTCCGTGGCTAATCTTCGTCGGAGACCGTTCTACTACCCGCCACATGCGGACGCGCCGGTTAGGCAACAGCCAAGCTAACGATGACCCACGCAGTTTTCAGCGGAAATATCGTCCTCCCTTGTTGCCTATGACTGTTGTGCATTATCATACCCTGTCTGAGAAACGCAATATTCTCTTGTGGCATATCCCATGTTTACGGTTCCACGGGTTGCTTACCTAAATTGAGGTCCTATAGTAGTAACCGCCACCCTAACAATCAGCATAATTACCGCTGCCTTCTTTGAGTGTTTTCTTTCCACGTTCCTCTTTTCTATTTAGGCCTCTCGTGCGCACCCCTGTCTGTGATTCCTATTTCCTGCCAAAGCCTCCTACAAACGGTGTTGCGGGCGAACTCGTGCACCAGAGAATCTCAAGTCTGCAGTTACCTTTTTCGCCTCTTTTGTCTAGTTTTTTGCAAGACCGACTCTTTTTGTTAGCACGGCTTCTCTTCTGATGCATCTTTTTTACATGACCTGCCCGCCTCGTGGTCTTAAGTAGTCGGAACTCCGTTTCTATGGGGCGAGACCCATATAATGCGACTTATACCATCATGGTGCGCTAAGTGGTGGCTTGGGAGGTAGTCGGGTGACGAAAAAACGTGGCCCTCTTCTGGGGGTGAAGGTCGAGCCGCACTGAAGTGTTTTCTTCATCTCCCGCAAAACACTCAGAGGCCACAACAGCTGTGTAGGTGTCGAAAACAACGCAACTCTTAGGACACATTTCCTAACCCCTTTCCTCGGTGAGGGAACAGATAGTGGTTCTTCGACAAGATCTATCCTGGGCGGCTGTGGCCTCAAATGTTGTGTCAGACCTTGGAGTTTGTAAAGGCTGTGGCCTCAAATGTTGTGCCAGACCTTGGAGTTTGTAAAGGCTATCAGGGCTTCTGGTGTGTTTATGATTGTCAGTCGTATAAAGGAAGCTAGCTGAAGTCGGGATCTGAGACATTGCATGCGTCAGCTTATACCGGAATCACTTGTTTGGCCGGCTGTGTGCGCCGGACACAGGAACATCTGAGGTTTGGCCACGGAAAGTAAGCATAAACGGGCTTTGGGCTCGACTAGCACCAGTGGGGTTCTGCTGAGCTCCCCTTGGGCAAATCGACCCGATCGTTCTCACGCATGTTGCACGACTACTTACTTTTTTTAAATAGCTGCTTTTATTAGATTTTGAAGCGTTGGAAGGAGGGCCGCAGAGAATGGGCAGCTGTAATCATATGCACACAGGCACTACTTGTCAAGATTTAAGAAGTTCACGGAAGTGGAAGCGAGGTAAAGTGCGAAGCAAGCAGGAGGGAGATGAGGAGACGTAGAAAGGGGTGGAAGGCAGCAAATATACACAGAATGATAAAAGGAGCATAGGTTCCAGCGAAAAAAGCACTCTTGCATTTGAACAGCACCTCGTAACGTCATTAGACAAAAATTCGGTTCGTGAGCACATGTAAATGGTGCGGGGGCGTGACGGTGTGTGTGTGTGTTTCCAAGAACGATACAACAGAGCCTAGCGCTTGCCAAAACCACTGCTCCGCAAGGGTGCGTTGAAGTTTGCGGCAGCTTGGTACTGCATTTGGTAGGCCAGTGGATGAACCTTGAAGCCGTACAATCTGCAAAAGGCAAGGATTCTATAGTAGTCAAGGGGAAAGTGGCGGGAAGTTTGTGACAAAGCTGATACGTATCGAAACATAAATACGGGAGGATTAGATGGAAATCGCCATCGACTACGCGACACTGCCACACACTGGCTGGGAGGCGAGAGATCGGGTAGGATCTCAAATGTGTTCCTTTGATGTTTGAGCGAGTCCGGTCCTGCGTTTTCGATATACCAGTTTGAAATAACCGGCTTCTGTAAGATGTCCTGCGCGCATGCAATTTGTAGCTATGATGAGTCAGCCATTCCTACCGACACTTTCTACTAGTAAAGCAGGACTTCTGTTGATCCTTCTATAGAAAACTGCAAATTCGCATCACTACAGGCACAGAAGCAGGTAGACTAAAAGCTACCGCCAGTCGGGGTAGAACTGAGGGACAAAAGTGCTTTCTGGTAATGTTTCAATTCGGACAACAGGTCGTGTGTGGTATTAGCAAATGCATTGGTAGGACAGTTCATGCATCATTCCAGGTAGGCAATGACCTAAGCACGGATCACGTCGTAGTAAGATTTGAGCGACAGCGGCCACGCCTGGCTACTCCATCCGCACAATACTCAAATGGTGGGCACCGGCCCAGAGATGAGACTAGATACTTGGCGTCATTTATCCCTTCTGGTCGCTCTCAGAAGAAGCAGACCGCGCATTCGCCCTTCTCATTCTCTTCGAGTGCAGAGGCAAGTCTGAATAAAATCACTGAGCGTGACGCCAGACCGGGCGTCTTGTCGCAATCTGTGCGCTGGTTTTGATGCCTACCAAGTCGGGGTTTGGTAACCGCTGTCGGTCCTCTTCTGGGCTGAATACCACAGTGGTGAAGAGGATGAATCGAGTATCAGTGGAAAGGACTTGTGCGCATTTTGATTCACCCTCTCCCTTCTCCCTCATCGTGTTGGAACGGCAATGTTGGCGATGAGGTGGGGTGTAGTAGCCGAGCGAGCATTATGCATGTGACCGCACGAGTGCTGTATCCCAAGTGATCGAACCAGGGTTCACACATTCACCGGCTGCACGGACACCAGCCACTTCCACCTGATTTATTCCAACAGCCAAGGCGGTTACTGGGAGATTTAGCCGCAGCGTTGGACATTGCTATAGGGCCGAAGTGGGGTGCCTGATGACATGGCCAAACCATGCATCAAGGCACCGGGTGCCAGTGAAAGAAACTGCAGAACTCGAACGCACACTTACCTCGCGACAAAGTGCTTAGGTGCCCTCTTGGGGCGATACTCAGGGTGCACGAGAAAGAGCATGTGTGGGAATCCGGTTCCAAAGTAGGCTCCATCCGTGTGATGATGGCGGGTCGATTTGGGCGCGTAAACGTCTTGGCAGCGGGGACAGTAGATCTTAACCATGGCCTCGCCAGGCACGTCAGACAGGCCAATTGGCAGACAGGGTTGATTCTCACAGTAGACCTGCAAGTCGGAAATTAAAAAGGGTAAACACAGCCACCATGCGGGACGCCCACCGATCATGTTGCAGGAGGCACTCGTCCTGATGTGCCCTCGGGTTCAATCTCGAGTCCCACCAGCAGCCGCTCAGCAACTAGGCAGAATGACAGGACTACGAGCCGGTGTCTAATTCTTGAGGTTGTTGGACTTCTAACCAATTTGTCGCGGGTTCGAGCCTCAGAGGTTGGGTGTGGCTGGCTGATGACGGCTGATAAGCCAAAAGTATCCATTCCGATCTCTCTAGTCACGATCGCTGGGACAAGAGCTTCATTAGCCTGACGTTTCGGATTCTCGCTGTAATTCATCATTAGAGACAGAGTCAGATAAGGGAAGTGGATTGCCCAAGCGTTGCAGTATTTATAGGATGTAGTCGCTAGGCAGCTACATGCCTATCACAGTTGGCAACTCCCGAGTGCATCACGGCTCCACTGGCCAGATTTGAAGTATGCAGTTGCTATGCGCTTGTGTGCCGGCCAGTCGAGCCGAGATGCATTCGGGAGCTGCAAACTGTGGTAGGCATGTAGAGACCTAGCAGACACATCCTATAAATACTGCAATACCTGGGCAACTTAACACCCTCATCTGGCTCTGTGTGTGATGATGAATTCGAGTGAAGATCCGAAACGTCAGGTTTACAGCGATCGTGTCTCCTTCTGAGCAAATACTTCCTGGAACTCGCCTCTTCGCTTCTATTAACTCCCTTGTCTTTGTCGGTAACGTTACTCTGCCTACAGTTATTAAACAGACAGTTTTTTTGTTTCCACGGACTGACATGCAACAAGAGCGACGGGAAGGTAGGGAATAGTGGCCTAAGCACGCATCGCATTACAATCAGACATTCAGAAGCGCTAGCTACTAGCGGTTTTGACGCCTTCGGTGCAAAGCAGCACCACGACCACACAATTTACGGACGTTAGTTAGATACGAAGGGTAGACCTGTCATTCAGTTCCGGAAGGCCAATCCGCTGACCTAGTTGCGGCGTAGTCGGAGGACGCTCATTAGCTAAGAGAAGCTGAGAAGTATGCAAGCCCTCGATCCTAACAACTAGGCAGTTGCAGACAATGCAGTAACAAAACAACTCAGGCGTGGGTAGACACCGATCCGTCAAATCGGTTAACCCTAGAAATTTAACTGACAAAAAAAACCTAGAAGGTTCACACGCCAATAGGTTCCCGCCGACATGCATTCTCGAATCCAAGTACTGCAGAAAACCATTTCTTTGACCGTCACAGCGGCATCCATCGTGTGCTCCACGGAGTATGCGCAGTACCGGTGACCTGGGCGTAAATTATTCTATAGTGAGGCAGATTTGCGCAGCATCTGACGCAGAATACTCCGTCACCCACATTGCTCCGATCATAGGACAACGTCAGGACGACTGGGAAAGCCATTGTAGCCTGACTCTCGGTCCTGAGAGTGACCATGTCAGTTGGCAGCCTTTCAAACCATGACTCTTAGAGCGTCGTGGTAGATCAAACTTCACTCGACTGGTTGTGGTGAGGAATGCGCTGATTTCCTGTGATGACCTGTTTCCCGATGTCGGCCTCACTCGCTGTTTCCGCTCTTTTCATGCACCAGCCGAGTGTCCGAGTCTGTGTGCCAACGGGTAACGGAATTCGGCAAAGTGACTGATGGGGCATAAAATTTAACGCCTATGGTGTGCTGCCAAACGCAAGCACCACGGCGGTTACCTGGACGCGCGAACTTGTGCTTGGTACTGCTGTGATAATGCTGGACCTAGCCGCCCTCGATGGTGTCACAGATTGTACCTCTCTACGCGTGACGATCCACGGCAGCGAGTCGGGACAGTTCGACCCATTCTACCTCCCGGCGATGGGGACTGAATGCCGAGGATGCAAGAACCACTTTCACGCTTTGACGAACAGTGTCGAGACAGGTTTTGATTTGGCCCCCCTTCGGTGCCCCCAGGTGAACAACAGCGGCGGATCGAGGGCAGCAACGCTGAGCTCACGTGGCGGACGATGAAAGGCATGCCCAAATAAACTCGGTCATCTTTCTTGGATAACCTCAGACATCCTCGCGATGTCGCAGCGAGTGTGGACTATCTTAAATATTCCGGGTGACCTGGAAAGACTGACTTCCTGCTCAAAAGCAAAAACAAGTAATAGTCTGACAGGACATCGAGAAACACCATGATGTGGGGTGCTCTCATCAACATAAGGGACTGATAATTCATAGATAATTGCTTAAACGGCTGTTAACCAACTCATCGCCAGGTCGTGCAGCGAGTTTTGGAAGAAGGGGGGTTAGAACACTCGTGAACTGTGAATAGAATCGAGCGTGTGTGCTCCGGGCAGCGGAAACAAAATTGCATTGGGATGTGGTGCATTTGAACAGCTGTGGCAAAAAGGAAGTAACTGAAAACTTTGGTAGGAATTAGGCGGGATAGACCGGGATGTTGGTTTCTTCTAATTTTAATAAGCGTCAATATCGGACACCATATCTTTGTTTTTATGCATATCCTTTACTGTGGTCTGGTATAGTTAGAAGTCATGTCATTTGAACGGGCATAAATGCAGAAACATCCGCATATTCTCGTAACGCATAGTACAGATTCAAACCCTTCAAAGCTAGACTTGAGTTTCGCATGGTTATCTCTGATAATAAATAACCAAAGCCAAAACTGGGAACCCTTACCCTTGGGCAGTATCCGAAGTCACCCTGTAACCACTTCTCGCCCATCAACATAATGCCTCTGTTTGTGAGAATGTAGCGAGCGTGGATGAGGCCATAGAGCATCTCCGCGGCCTGCTCTATGATGTCGGATTCACGGGGATTGTTGTCCAGCTCATCATCTGCAGAGATAGGGAAAATAAGAAACTAAGTCCTCCTTCAAGACGGTCGGCGCTGCCCCACTCCCACCAAAATATTTTTAAAAGACGAAATTCATCGGGTCAGTATTGGCTACACACATATAGCGTCGTTTGTACATTGGGAGTCAGAAACGTCACTGTCATTGCCTGAGTGATAATGTGGGTAGCCAGATGTTTAACTAGTTTACTCTGCCTTTCAGAACTAGGAGAAATCAGTGGGAACCTCAATCAGGTAGCCTTGGTAGGCGAGTTCCGTTGAGTCAAAAGCCTAGACCATCGTTCGTCAAGAAATGCGTGACATCTTGAGAATTTTCAAGCTGGGAAACAAAAAATATAAAGTACATATACTTATATCAGGCTGTTAGAGGAAAGCGAGGAAAAGCCTTCAGCAAGTTCTAGATAAATGCCCCGAGTTTACCTGAGTCGTTCGAAGTACTTTAACCTGCCATTCATCAGCGCCAGCAAGGCTTCTGTTACGCCTGTGGTCGGCAGGAGCGGGTCAAGCTCCTGATTATAGACGCTTGTCAACGAAACACCGAGTAAAATGCAATCAACTGCGTCGGGTGGAGCAGGCTGTAAGGCTCTTTCAGTCAGGTGTGCGACGGCTGACTTTTGTGTTGCTGATGATGCGCAATGTAGGCTCACTGCGCAATGTTTTGCCGCCATCAGCATGCGTAAGACGGCGAGTCAGAAATCTGTCAAATACTTGAGCAATCCTCACACAGCTCAGGGGTTGGACCGTGTGGTCCGTAGAGTTCCTTGCCAAAATTAATGTCGAAATAGCGACGGCGAGTGGTGAACCTGGCGGTGCTGAGTGACTTTAAATATTCCAACAGACAAATAATTGCCACCTAATCGTCTATAAGAGGCCTCTCCAAACGTGATGACGGTCCCATATTCCTCCCCATCTAACCAATTGCACTGTCTGTTCACTAACTCAAACACTTAGCCTTAACAGCAACCGACCAACTGGCAACGAAAGCAGTTGCGTGAGGGCGCGATGCCGGCGTGTCTTGATGAACTGCATTGAGTCAAAAGACAAGGTTGCCAAATGGGTGCTCACAGTGAACGGCCACCCGCGCGATTTAGTCAACAGGTGCATGTGCAAACGAGAAGAGGAATTAAATCGCACTGGTTGCCTTGCGTGAAGAACGTCTGGGAGGCCGACAGTTGCCTTTTCGCGTCATTCGGAGTTGCAGTTGCACACAGACCAAAGGAAACTATAAGGTGCAAAGTGATGTGGCTGAAATACTCGCTGCCACAACGGAAAAGGCCTGGAGTCGTTTACCGCCTTGGCGAGCGCTAATTCCAATAACGGTATCGGTGAGTCACTATCGTAATTATCATATCAATAACCACCATGGCTCATTAACCTGCACAATAACGATCAAGATGCTGACAATCAAGGAAATATTGTATCACGTACGACCATCAGCGATGTGTAACTGGTCACTTTGGCGGCATGTGGCAGCAGAGCAATTTCAGTCCATAAAAACCACACCTATTGTGCACTCACTAATGTTGTCTGTCGCTGTTACAAGCAACAGGTCACTAAAGGTCTTGCCCTGAGATAATGATGTACACCAATTTGAGCTGCTGTGAGCGCGTCAAGCAGTCTGGTGGTGGTGGTGGTGGTGGTGGTGGTGGTGGTGGTGGTGGTGGTGGTGGTGGTCAGTCCTTCCTGACAGACCAGCGGTTTCCATGATCCCCAAGAGACGAAGCACAACGACCTTCTTACCTTCGGCGGAATAGCACTAACGTGGAGCGGCGCGAAAAAACTATAGCATCACGCGCGACGCGCACATGTAGAGGCAGGCCATCGTGATCATCGACATAAGGGGCGTAAAAGGGTAGGTCAACACTTAAACAACCCCAGCCTGTGGCCTTCTGAACGGACACGAGTCTTTCATAAGGCCGTCAGCCAGCGAGGAAACTGCGTTTCGACAAGTTCTTTCCTATTTTGCCTCAGTACACTGATTCTAGTCATATCAACAGCTAACTTTCGTTATTCGTTAAGGCGATCTATAGTAGATAAACTACTAGGCAAACACGCGGTCCAGACCTTTGTTGCTGCTACACAATCTGCGTGTCAAGTTGTACCGAAAGATTTAAATTACAGGCAATTAAGTCAGGAGTCGGGCGGTGGATCAAGAATCTCGGATTTTGTCTGCGCCGTAACTTCTTTGCAAATAGAATGAAGTTGGAGATTTTCGGGGTGACACTAGGTCACCTTCTGAGCATGAACTGTTATATTTTGTTTCATCGTTATGACCTACGGAAATCATGTTCTTAAACAAGAGCCTTCCTGATTCCCAAAAAACCGATTTTTCCACGGAATGCAAGCTGAAAGTGTTTGGTTCTTTCAAGAAAAACGACTTTCTCTTTGTGTCAAGCACCGTTCTTAGTGGACATTCTCACCTATGCAAGAAAACATTAACCAGGCTGTTAGCTCGGAAGCACAGGATTCAGTGTGGAGACTAGGGTTAATATTACAGCTCGGTGACGAGACTCCGCCGACATCGTCAAACGGCAGTTAAAGTAGCGCAGCGGAAGTGGTATTAGCGAGGTGTCAAACAGCACAGATCAGCGAAGTTTTCCGACTTGTGACCCCGTCCGGAGTACGGAGAAGACGAAAATGCGGAAACAAACGAAGTAAAATGCAGATGACGCACGTATATTTACGCGCGACATGACTCATGATTCGCAACCACAAAGTTGGACTCAATTGTGGTTCTTAACAAAAAAGTGCAAGCACCATATAGGCTGTTCTTACCCGGTTCCAGATCGAGAATCATGTCAAGGGCCTGACGATAGTCTGGGACCTGCTCGCTGAGTCCCGTTAGATTGAAGCGATCCTGTATATATTCCTCGTCGACTTCACAGAAGAACTCATTTCCACGTAGTCCGCAAAACCACAAGATCCATGAAACCTCCTCACTGCTGCTCATCTATTGGATTGAATGAACAGTGTAACAGAGCAGTGGAGGGAGGTCTTGGTGCAAGATACAAGACGCAGCAATGTTCTTGACCGATACACCAGAATCGTTGTTTTGACCCCACCCGCCTGATTTTACATGAATAATGCATATACATATATAGAGGTTATGGGGAAAGAAGTCATTCCGATTTATTCAAGGTTTTGAAAATCGCTGCGCGTTGTGCATGCTTATGTGTTATGAGTTATAAAGGAAACAATGGTCTCTCCACTTCAACAGACAGAAAGTCGACCAACCAGCAAGTTTATTAATTCGTCCCTGCCATTAGTGCTCCCTTAAGGTTGAGGATATAGGCGAGTTTGAAGCGGTACTCTGGATAACCGACTCAGTTAACGCTATGGTGCAAGTGCACATCACCAACGATCCCTCTGTTGCAACCAGTCCACACCATGCACTCGAGTTAAGTGGATCCCACAAAAAGATGATCGTAAAGCTCGTCGTCAACTCCTCATCACGATAATTGACGCTTCCAATGGACGATCCCAGTGTCATCGCCAGTCGGTGCCAGGTTCGTGGGTGCAGCTGCCATAGGGGACGAAACATATCTTTGAGACATCTTCGACAGTAAGGGAAACTAATTGTCTAAATCTGGTAGTGAACAACTGTACAGTTGAACGTTTGTGACGCAGTCGGAGGCTAATTCCGTGGATGGAACACGGGCACAATCGGTCGAATGATACGTACATTATGTGTGCACGAGCTATGTTGCACACTGCTAGGGCGGCCGAAAGCATAATAATTCTTACCAACCATACTTCACGCGAGGCGAAAAAACGTCGTGTTGCGGAGTGTTTTCGGGTATTCAAACAGCAATCCTTCTATCCAACCGCACATGAAATTCTGATGCACACATTTACGAAGGTTGTATGTCCACGTACTAGAAAGGGGAAGATCCGTCAGGATGCCCCGGATTAAAGACTAGAAGCAGCAATGCATGAACATTTTCTATTGTTCTTGCTACTTCCGGCACTACACAAGCCTACATCAGAAGAGTGCCTTGACGGGGACTTCGCATACCCGTAGCTTTAACTAACCCAACGTCAATTTCCGCGGTTTCGATGGTGGCGGACGACAGTCGAGTGCGCTTGCTTGGTCCGATAGCCAACTTAATTCTTACCTAATCCGATTAACAGTAAGATCCACCAAATCTAACAGTTCTCCACTAACCTAGACACGTCACGGCCATCGTGCGCGAGCAAATATCTCTAGCTGCAAAACCCAAGACAATCATCTTTGGAATTCGTTTCAGTTTGAATTCCGCCGCCTACGGACCTATTTGGGACGCAGCGCACTGATTTCTGAAAAGGATTTCGCCAGACGATAGGCAAAATCCAAGAGAAAAAGCCGGTGGGCTGTTAATTGTAGTGATAGCCCGGCGCAACGATGTGCTGCTCAACATGTCTCTATCGTGGCCAAAAGCCAAATAGATTCGTGCTTGCGAGTTGAGACGAAAGCGGGGTTGATGGGGAAGAACGATTAACAAGACTCGCTCGGCGACGTCAAGGAGGTTTGCGTCACGGTAGTCCTTACAAAGTTGCCTGTGTGCCTTTCCAAAGATCGGCGTAACGATAACGTTGCTGTAGCCGGTGAGTACGGCCTCTGTTTCTCCAATTTCTTCAGGCACCCGTGCAAACCATCAGCCAGTACCATTGAGTGGCGCTTGTGAATTTCGGCTACGATGCAATCCTCTATGTGTTTCAGCCTTGCAATCGTCCAAACGACCTCTACTATGGATGTGGGGTTGATGCCACTGTTAACTCGGGTGCAAAGTCGTCTTAAAACCGGACAACAGCTGAGGGGGTCGAACTTGTCGAACTCAGATGACGTGTCCAACATAGACGCTTTCGGAGCACTTTTGCTGTCTCTGGTCGACGAGGCACATGGACTGGAGCACGGACCCACCTAAATCCGATAGGGCTTTTATTCGTCTCCAAGAGTTTAAACGCTCTGAAAATCCCGAACGACTGTATAGTTCGTTTTGGTCGTGCTGAGCAAAGCGCGTTGTTGAACGACGTAGGCCGTTGAAGTTCGGATCGTCCGATCGCGAACGGTCTTTACACTATCAGTCAGTCAGATTGTTTCACTTGGGACTCAATTTTAGCGGCGATGCCTTATGCGACTTAGCGCCTACATGAAAGTACTCGGGAGAATGTGCTCTAGTTTGAGCCAGCAGTATCCGACTGACGGAGCCTCGAAGGTGTTTCTCACCGATGTCGGTGCGGAGATTAAGGAGCTGGCGTAGTGTACGATAGTTCAAGTCGATGATTTGAGGGGAAGGGACAAATAACGTGGTAGACGAGAAGGGCCAGATATTACACAACTACCACCTTACCTGAAACATAAAAGGAACCCAAGTGAAAAAAATCTACGCAGTGCTTGAAGGTGCAGTTCGAACCCCGCAGAGCGTCAAATTTTCGACATCGCACAGCTCAAATTAAGTGGATATTTCTATCTAACCCCTGTCAACGGCCTACAGGAGATTGTTTCGAAACGATCGTTGTCAAAAAACGTCCGCTTTGATAAGTGTCACTTTAGTTTTCCTAAACAAGCTGAAAAACCACACATCAAAAGGTGTTACTTGATGATTCAGTTTCGTGACGACTACTGTTATCAGGACATTAGCAAATAAGACGGCAGCCGCGCTCATACACACTCGTTCTGGAAACGCAGACAAGGTACAAAGATTAAAAGGGGAAAACGAAATAAAAGGAACAAAGGATAGAAAAACTAGCTGTGTAAAATGATTGCAGGTGACAGTGAGAAACATTGGACAGCACAGATATCTACGTTACATATAAGGAGTCATCATAATGTAAAGTGCACACAGGAAACATTAAGGCCTTTGAACTTCAGACTAAAAGCTTTGGGCTGATGGCCAATTGGAGTGTTTGAAAAAAATACAGCGTATTTGTTCTTTCATAACAAATTGGGTTGTGATTCAAAACGCAGCGCGGCCTAGGTTATGATGGCTCGTGCGTTCTAAGCAGCTACGAGTCGGAATCGCGGCGAGCTCCTATTCAGAAACACTAAATAAGGCGCTGGGAATATAGTTTTCTGTAGAATATGAAAAGCAAGAAAATGCGACCTGGAAGGTATTTTCAACGAAGCGCAGCAGACCTACACTACATAGTTTGGCAACCAGTAATCCCCCAGTTATACCAAACACCATCTACCATTATTTTCCTCGATACTACTGATTACGGTAATAAACACAGTGGATATTGACTTAGATTGAGGCGTACACTGGTTCATTGGTTTACAAATGCATGCAAGCAGTCGCCTATCTAATCAAACTGTCCTGACGACACAGGAGGCATCGACGGAGTTTATGCAGCACTGTTTCCCGCTTTGTCTATGAAAATGCTGGATGGCGAGACTGACGAAATAACTGGTCATCGACCGACGTCATCGTTACCGCATTATGGGCTTTTCTTTTATCATCTGAAATAGGGAATATTCAGTCGAATAGGAATGACGCGCAGAAGGGAAATGGACACTTTCCTTCAGTCTTGGGGCCGAGGATCTACAGGCCACGTAGTCGGTCGGAAAGCGAGATATTTTTATAAGCAAAGACGGGGAGAGTGGAATAGCAATTTTTGGCTTATTTGCCGTTATCAGGTAGTTATGCCACAATCCAAATACACCCCGAGATTAGAGCCCAGGGAAAACGGACTAGTGGGCATTTAAGCTCAACGTTCTAATTACTCGAGTTACCGGACTTTGGATAATGCTTAGAACAGAGTCCTCATTTTAGTTTGGAGACTATCTGCTCGAAATAATAAGGGCTTATAAAGCTGACAGTGCATATAAAGACTCTTATATGAGAAATTCAGGCAACAACTGGCAGATAACATAAGCAATACTTATTCATGGAACGTTAGGGTGGGACTAAAATTATTCTCTAGACGCACGAATAGCATCAACAGGATACATTTATAAGCTGACTCGAAATGCTATAGCTTTCGGACGCCCACTTCCTCACTACGTAGTACAATATTGGGAAGCGAGCACGTTTACTGACGAAGACAATGCGTTTAGACGGGGAAGTTGGGCATAACGCGCTCATTTGTTTGCCTCTTTATCATGGGCGTGCGTGTTTTCATACGGCATTTTAATTTCTGACCAATTCGGCTAATAACAAACGAAGAACAGAAGGAGCGTGACTGTCGAATTGTTTAGGGACGCATGATCCTGTGGTTGACGACCACACCTAATCTTTAGAGGAGATGCCAAGTTAGCTCTAAGTACTTTTTGATCTGTGATGCCGCACCAGCGGCCCAGCTCAGTCTACATTAAAAATCGCATGTCTCCAGTGCGTATAATCGCGCATCAGAAAAATAATTAGAGATGTTTCGAGCGTTTGAATCGAGGTTTAGTATCGGTCACACAGCTGAAAACGTAAGTTAAACATGACGCCAAATAAACCTCTAGCGGCGATGATCCGAAGAAATTGGCAGCAGGACCTCTACTCGATTCATAATTAACGTCGAGACAGTTAAGGCCTGTTCAGCCGCTTATAAGCTAATTAGAATAACGGAAAGTGCAGAGTTAGATTAACTGTGGGGTTACTGCGTGACAACGACATCGATATTGGCAAGATAAAGCACAATGGTCTTATGTATATAGAGCTAAAACGCAAGCCACCCTAATAAAAAGAATTACCCTTCAGTGCAGGCAGAAACAAAGCACAAGTGCCGGTGGTAGCGACCCTCGAGGCGTGATCACGCCTGCGGTTAGTTGTTTGACACTAGTGAATAGAAAGAAAGCCTAATTAGGGAAATATTTCGCAGTCCGGCGATCGCTTAAACAAGAAACGTCATAGCCTGCCAAAACAAATCCAACATTACGTAAGCAGAAAATTAACGCACAATCAACACGCAGACAGCAAACCTCCTCCGAGCGAACAGCCGGAAACGAAAGGCCGCGTATCTTGAAAGAGCGCGTTAAAAGCCGACATGTCAAGATGTTCAATTCCAAGTTGGTATTGTTTTATAGGCCTACGTTTTTCTATTCAGTTAACCAAATGACACAATGTGCTTTCCGTGGTGGAAGTGGGTTTATTTAAGGTCCATTGAAGATAGTGATCGGCAGTAAAGTGAAGAAGCGACATCCACCGAGGAAAACTGAGGGCAGACCTGGAAGATTTCGAAGTCAAACTCAAGTTGATATATATGCGGAACCAAGTTTTTTTAAATCGATGCGGTGGTTCTGTGAAAGAATCTTTATGACAACAGAACACAAGCTAGCCGGTTCCTCCGTAGCAACCTGTGATGCCGCTCCATTGAACGCCCACGCAAAGTGATCTAGGCAAGGAACGCACCCACACCGTCTACATTGCAAAAACTTGCGGTATCATTTATCACTTCATCCCGGACTGGGCCGTGACCCCATCCCTCTTAGTCTGACCCAGCCCCTAAGGCGCGACATAAGCTAGCAATTCACATAAGAGATTAAATGGGAACGTCCGATTATCCCCATTTACTCTTTTAAGTTGTCTACTGCAAACTGCTCTCTGTTACTTGATAATTGTTCATGACGAGCAGTTTTTGGAAAACGGTGATTGTATATGATAAAACGGATTAATTATGCGAATTTATTTATTCATCTGGCTGCTACATCCGAAACGCCTTCGTATAACTTTTCGGATGCTTACATGATCCATATAGTAATAGATCGGCTGGGAGATGTGGGAAGTGTATTCGTGGGTGCTAGAGGGCATATATCGCATGGTTAGGGCATCCTGTAGCTGCATATTACGGTGTGGCGACCTTCCTTCGTTAATTTCACCGCGGCCAAATGGACGCAATCCGCCATAAATCGGTCAAACGACAACAAATAAGACAAAATCCTCTAAATGGGGCATAAATTTGTAATGGCGGGTCATATTTAATGCTGTTTAATAGTCCATTAAGAAACAGGTCATAATGCCGGTCCTCGTTTGCTTTGCTATATAATAATCACATCTTACGAAAGCCAGCTGAACAAGAAAGTCAACACCAATTCTTAGAAAATAAGACAGAATATAAAGTAAATCGGTTTTAAGATAAGCATGTCGTTTCAGCAGGAGGAAAAGGGGCATTAATCCGTTGTCTATAAACTAATTCTTCCATGAAAATGTCTGTGGGAATCGTTTTAAACGAACCACAGCCCTCCTTTGTCTCTGTTACGCAGAATTCCAGAATGACATTTGGAAAATTTTTGCGACAGTACGTCATTTAGTATACAAGTCTGCGTTTTCGGCATGCGCGCATTTAGAAAAACGAACGAGCTCATAATAGACAATCTTAAGATATAAGTTTCTTTTTTCTGCTCAAATCCGGCTCACGAGGTTTGGCTGAGACATTTTCCTTGTTTTGTTCACAGAAATATGCGAATAATCAGATGCGTGAAGACGAATAAAGTGATTGCTTAGTGATCAACTATTACAGGACGTTAATAAATAAATTTGGCAAACATCCCCTTACAGTATCTCGTGACTGAAGAATCGCTGCCGACTTTAAACATTAAAGTCCCACGCAGCATACATACATTTCCCGCAAATACCTGTGAATAACAGCTGCGTAGTGCACTACAAAAGGGTATATCCATCGTTTAACTGTAGACCACTGGGACATTTACAATTCATGTGTTCAGCTAAATGCAGTAACCCTTGCTGGGCTTTTCATACATTATAAGAAAGATCTGTTTCATAGGAACTGAGAGGGCGTTGACAAGAGCCGTCCAAATCGAAAATGTCAACTCCAGTGATCCAAGAACTCTGAAAACTCTCTCAGAAGTGACCTGTCCAGTGACGCATGGAATATAATAATAATAATAATAATAATAATAATTTATTTAATGCCAGTTTACAGGCATTGTCAAGGGAACCGATTAAACACAAATCCGACCAGCAGTGAAAAAAACTCCTGAAGAATAAACATATAGTTGATGGTGGTTTTTATGGTTTGGAGGGTTCAGGAGAAAAATCTGCTGGTGGTAGATTTTCGACCGTCAAGAAGGGGGAGGGGGATTGCACGGTATCGGAGATTATCGGACGTCAATTCCTTTCATGAATTTGAGGATAGTCAAAATAGAGACGTTGAGGAACAGCTGGTGAGACCGGCCATAGTGTTCAGAGACCACAAACGCCATCGCTACGGTACAGTCGATCAGTGGATTCAGCACCCAAAATTTTTGGGAGTTTTTCTGAATGCAAAAATCGAGTAATAGTTCTCTTAAATAAAGAATAATTTTGCAGAGGTTTCACACTCATGGGTAGTTTATTCCAAATAGAAATTGCATTTACAGAATAAAACCAACGATATTTAACAGTACGTGCCAGAGGCAGAAATAAAAAGAGCTCACGGGGACTGTTACGTCGTGGGTGGATATGATGTCTTAAAGAGGTGAGTGGGTTAAATGTGTGATTATACAAGAGTTTAAATAGCAAAAATAGTCCCTTTTTCATCTACGGAACCAAAAAGGATCAAGGCCCGTAAGCCGGCAACATTCTTGGTAAGACAAATGTCGGTGTTCCGGGGTTAAAATTCTCTTGGTAAAAAAGTGTTGAACGAATTCTATTTTCTTCCGCTCAGTAGCACGCATGAGGCTAAATAAAAACGAACAGTATTCCAGGCCAGGTCTAACGTACATGTTGTAAAGGCGCATTCTAATGTCCCTTGTTTTAAAGTTTTGGTGGGAGGGGTGTTTATTGGCCGAAAGTCATCAAATAATGTAGGTTTGCCGTGCTTCGGAATGGGCAAAATGTGTGATTCCTTCCACAAGGTAGGATAAGTTTCACTTTCAAGAGCAAGATTAAATATCTTGCATAAGAGGGATGGGAAAATCGTATTTGCATCGGCTTTTAAAATGCTTTCTGGGACACCATCAGGTCCTGGACTTTATAGCCGAATCGCAACAGTCACATCCAACAGAGTGAAAGTTATAGTTTCTAGGACTGCCCCGGTCAATGGCTGGATGGTCAGAAGCGGAGTGGTCGAGTCTTCAATGAACGTTTTTGGCAGGAAATCGTTAAAGCTATCCGCGGTTAACTGGGCATCAACTATGGGATTTCCGAGAGCGTCTCTGAGGATGGGATGCTGCGTCTTTCTCTGAATTCGTATTTTTCTAGAGAAAAGTTTCGAGATATTTAACGAATGGTTTTCGGTCAACTGGACCTCTTCGGCTAGCTGTTTTCCTATAGACAATCTCTTAGCTCGATCAAAAATATCACAAATCAAGGGCAGAACAGAAACATCGTTATGAAGATGGAAACGACGATAAAGCCTGCGCAATCTGCGACGAAGAGTAAGGGTAGGAAAACCTTATCCCCAACATTAATAATTTTCCTACGGAAGACACGACGAGAAAAAAAGCGGATCCAAAATTTCGTACAGATTTGCAGTGCAAACATTTACATCCGAACTAAGGAAGAAATCAATCCAGTCGTAGGAATTAAGGTGTGTTAATAATTCGGTTGAGCGAGTTGATCGGAAATCGCGGAAAAGTTATACTTTGGGGAAGGCGTTTTGTCAGCCTCGAATTCCAACGTTGAAATAACTATGTCATGGTCGGAGCCCCCGAATGGGCCTAGGGATGACACTGACGATGGCATGCAGCCTCTACAGAAAATTAGGTCAAGTATGCTTGAGCCACGGTTGGGAAAATCGACAACCTGAGTCCACGTCCCAACATCCACAGCCTCAAGAAAGTTTTCGAACCTTCTGGGGCCTGAGGGCGGAGACCAGCAGACTTCGGGGATATTAAAGTCACCCGCAACCAATTGATACTCAAAGCTTGAGTCGGCCGCAGCATGAAATGCCTGTGAGAGTAAACGATCAAAATTGTCGTTGGCGTTGTTAGAGCGATAGATACAGCCAACGAGTAAAGAGAACTTATTTTTTAGGACAACCTGGAGCCAGCAGCTGCCTTCTACTGCGGAAAAATGCGGGAGGTCCAACGGCAAAAATGTAAGTGTTTGCTTAACGTAGACGCAGCTGCCCCCACCACGACTATCTTGGCTATCATTTCGGATGCAATTATAGCCTGGAAGAGAGAGTTCGGAGTCAGCTACAGAGGCTGATGCCTACGTCTCAGTTACTAAAGCAATATCTGGACAATGGACGAACACCAGAGTCTGAAGCAAAGGCGTCTTATTAAGCAAGGATCTGGCATTTAAAACAAAAAGTCTGAAGGGAAAGGCTGTTTGTTTCTGAGGGAAGTGGGCTACATCGTCCAGTTCTGGGCTGCCCACGGAGCAAATGGTCCGGATGCAACCATCCGGTTCTGCAAAAATTTTGTGGCATCCAAAAATTCTGACGTGGATAAGAAGGGGTAGGACTTGGGGAAGGGAATGTCGGGAATGAAGGGTCTTCTGGTGCAAAGGTACCAGGATGAGCCGAACGGAGAAGTTATCTAGTTTTCCTGGAGCAAGAATTTAGCAGCGGGCAATACATGATGGTATTGGAAAACAGGTGTTATCATTAGCGGGGTGCCTCTAGCATCGATCAATCTTCCTGAAATCCACAAATCCGTATTAACGGCCTACGCATCTAACACAGGCTATTAAGTAATCCCCCTCTGAAATTCTGAAAACTTTGAATCCGATCTTACATAAAGAGTCTAAGATGCCCAGGTTTACAATGGCCCTTAGTTACGGCCTTTAAGTGGCGTGGAATGGGTAATATGACCCAATGAATGACAGACCTCCTTAAGCATTCTGGGAGGGGTGGAAACATCGATGGTAACATCCAGGGGACGATATTGCAATAAACCGTATGCCGAGAGGCTATTCAAGGCTTTCTCTTCAACCTTTTGTTCTTGCCTGTCTTACTTTGATGGAGATATAATTGGTTTTACGGGCCGTTGGTAGGAGAGAATGGAAGCTGTTTTCTATTCAAAGACCAACAGGAAATGGTTTACCAATTGTTCGCGTGAATTCGTTAAACTTTATGACCACCGGATAGCTCTCATCTATGTTTTTCTTTTGCATGTAATTACTAATAAAGGTGGGCATATAAAGTTAAGAAAAACATATTCCACAATCATCGCTCTTCCCAGAAAATAAAATCTTCATCTTCAACCGTCCTGCACCTAATCACGCATTTCGTTAAGTATATAAGTGTACTAGCAAATCCAGATCCCAGGCATGTTCGAGTGCAGAAGCTGCTGGACTGTAATGACATTTGGCGGATGAATGCCCATGTGTCACATCTTTTTGCACAACAAAATCGTCGATGAATAAACAGTGCCTTGTCATATCAGACATTAACGATTTTCTGCGCGAACGATACAACCTCTTTTTATTTTAGAGTTGTTTCCGATTATTTGCTTAAACATAAGCATCATGACATGATTGTAGTTGTAATCTGCATTCACATCACATACTGGCTGAGAATAAACCTCACGAAAACTATCCGACATATGCGAATAATTTGAATTTCTCGACACGTGATCGGTCATTACCCGGTTTTTCTTAGAACGTTTGTACCTGACCAACAACTTCAAGCTAAGTGAAAAAAATTGTTTTAGCATAATTTCTCTGTTTTAAGACAAACACCATACTGAGCTTCTCAAATCGAAATCACCAAAGAAGAAATCGCATCTTTTATTCGGAATAAACAGGTGTTTTTCTACATCTTATTCGACTCAACATACACGGAATGGCAATCAACTTCCAGATGTGCCGACGGTTATATATGGATGATTTCAGTCATCCGGATTAATTCATTTTTTAATAGGCTATATCGGTGACTGGCAGTCTGTGGAGGTAGCGGTTGAAAGCTGTGTTCAGCAAGTCTCCGTTCTTGTTACTACCGTGTCCATCATATACGTCAACGACTGCGCAAGTGAACCGGATTATGATGTCGCCACGTACGCTTATAATGTTAAGATGTGGAGCGTCTTTCGAGTTGAATATAACGAAGAAAGTTTGCAAGCAAACCTGGACTGACTACATAAGTTGCCGCAAGACTGGTTTTTTGCGATTTAATGTGAATAAGGGCGACATTCTGCGAGTTTGTAGAACCAGATCTCCGGACTGCAGGGTTTACTACCTAAATGGCGTACCATTACAGGAGGTCGACGCCCAGAAGGACTTGGGTGTGTGGTTCATGGCTTTAATGAATTCATTGCTACACTGCTCCACATGTCCACATCCGTCGAGGCCTTAAAATGCAAGCTGGATCATTATGCCACTACACATCGCAATGTCAGCCGTTAGACATCGTCTGAACGTTCAGTGTTAGCAATTTATTACTATTGCATAATTACTGTCTTTGTTCCAGCAACGTTGCTCTTTTAATTTACTTACTGTCCCAAATTCATTGCATGGGAATAAGGATATTCACTTTGGCATCTTCAAATAGCTGAACTCGTCCTAATTTTTACATATCACAACTATGAATGTACTGACTACGGTACAATGTACTTAGTAGTGTTGGTGTTTATAGCACTTAAATTGATTTGTTTATCTGTAGAGTCTCGATCATTCTGCCGCGGCCGTTTGATGTTTCCTTGTAACGAATATGGAGTTCGAAGATGAAACATCTGCATTTCCCTCAAATAAACTGAACTGAAACTTAATCCTATTAGGGAACTACGCGTAATTAAGCACGGGGAGTTTGTTTTGCCCAGAAACAGTCTGGATAAAAATTGGAGTTGCTTTCTGTCCAAAATGCAAACTTTACGTTAGTTGAGTAAGAAAAAGTGTGTGTCGCATAAAACGTAACTTTCGAATCAAGCTAAGGGGGTTCACCGATACGTAATACTTGTAAGACACGAATAAATGATTAGCTGGATTTCGGAGATTGCGCTTAGACGATTTAAAAAATGCTAATTAAATCAATTAACTTAGGTAAACTAAGAACCGAGAGAACCTTCGCGTATGCCGAGTGTGACCGTGGTGCACGACGGCAAAGATTGGTAGACGCTTTAAGCTGTGCGGCAGGGGCAGATTATATAATTGCACGTATGTCACATGTGAGGCGCTTATTATAGCTTTTAATCCCGTCATTCTACTTATCTGCATTCAGACATTCATCTATACTAACAACCACTCACTTGCTTCTTCATACTCTTGCTATTGCAAGGGTCTGTTCAAAGGTTGGATTGAACATGACGTCGCAACTGGAAGGACACATGTCAGCGGCAATTATTTCCAAATCCACCCCCACGAAAAGCTTACCTTTTTCATCCAGATTTCTAAATTCCTTGGCTTTGGCATTTCGCAAGCCTATTTTATTTTGATTCATTTTTAAGCGTTATTGTGTTATATTCTCTTTCGACGACAACACAGAACAAAAACTTTTCGGAACATCAACTGTCAGTCCAGACTTAACCGTTTGGTAACCCAGTCTTGATCTCATCAATCAACCAGAGGTTTTCTTGGAGTGATTTACTGGTGCGAACTGTTGCCACCTAATAAGAATGCGTACAAAAAAGAAACCAAATACCACAATTTAGACTTAACGTGCACACAAAAGTATTTTATGGAAAAAGGACAGAGTAAGGTCTACGACTGGGGTTACTTACTCCGGGAACAGGTGTGATAAAAGAAAATGGCTGGCGATAGTTATTTGTACGTGCCAGAGAAAGAAATCGGAAGACCTCTCGGTGGCTGTTGCATGAGGGTGGTCAAGATACTTTAAGGTAGACATCGGAGTAAAAATACGACAAAGAAATACTTTTTGATACTACCTGCAAAGGGACAGTAAGTTCATCTACTATTATCATTAAATAGTAAAAAGGGTGATCCCTTTTGGTTGGTGAAACTATGGAGGATCAAAATTTATGAGAATGCAAAGTTCTTAGATGTTCAGATCTTTTGCTTAACGCAAATGCTCTCCACCGAAAGTAACCCCCGGCCATAAGCCATACGTTTACCGGAAAAAAGTTCAAACGACCGCCGGTCTCACAGGATCAGTTCGACCATGCAGCTGAATCAGAAATTTCTTTAAAGAAATCGCTGATCAACTACTCTTCAAAATCTTTATGCTGTCCCGTCGATGGGTCGAATTTTCAGATGACTTGAGAAAGCGTACAAGAAGCCGTAAAAGCCTCATTTCTTTATTCAAAAGCTTACTTTATTCCTCTTTTTTTCTTCTGTGTTGCGTAAGTAGTTTACCCTATCGGCGTGTACTTAAAAGGTTATTGTTTGAGTTCAACCTTACATACTTCTACTATTTTTGCTTTATCATTAGCACTGATAATTTAACATTTTGCACTTTTGACAGCAGGTCAGATAATGGAGTTCCGAGTACTTCATACTGCACGTGAATTTTGGCGTGCTTTACGAGTTCTAAAATATACACAGAGGATTTACCTGTTAGCTAACTCAAGATGGACATCCATCTTTTGCACCAGCCAGAACTTTGTCGGTTCGCAGAATGATGGTTGCTCGGTTTCACTGATGAATGAACTTAATTCCGACCGTCTGTGGACTCAGGGACACGGACGGCAATCAGTACTTCTTCCAAAACCATACGAGAATTGCCTGTCCCTGCCACCAGAATTTCTGTTTACTCGTCCGCCCGGCTCTGATACTTGAGAATTGCAAATAATTTCCGAATCAGGTTTTTGCATCATTTGAACTGACACATACGTAGTTCACTGGCTACAGTAATGTTTTGCGTAATAAATAAGTGCAGCAGTAAAGATAAATTCAGAAAATTTAAAACGCATAGGATTAAATTTTTGATTTATTCATCTGGAAGGAGACTCAAATGCATAGAAATCCCCAGTCACAGTTTGCATCCAACTTAAATCTGCATTTGATATTGACTGCGTAAATA